GCCCGATGCGGGACTCGATCCCGGGACTCCAGGATCATGACCTGAGCCGAAGGCAGTCGCTTAACCAACTGAGCCACCCAGGCGCCCTGAAACCAGAATAGTCTTAACTCCTATTGCATGCTGTTGATCACATCTAACAACTTTGAAGAACTTTCTACATATAAAATACATATATATGGGCTAGACGGCCCATAGAATGGGCCGTCTAGCAATATACCCCTAGTGGGTGTGTAAAGCCATTCCAAAAATGTTTGCTGTCCATCCACCCATTGTGTACTGCTGCTGGAGATCCAGCAGTGAACAGAATAGTCACAAATGCCTGCCCTCATGTAGCTGACGCTTTAGTGAAGGAGATAAAATAATAAGTTATTTTAAATAAGTATTAAATTAATAGGTAAGCTATGTTGTGTGTCAGGTGGTGACCTATAGCAAAGAAGGCGTGGGAGAAGTTGGGAGTGGGAATTTCACATGTGGGGCTGTCAAGGAAGAACCCACTGAAAAATATTTGAGTTAAGACTTGAGGGAGGTGAGGAGCGCCTGATTGGCTCAGTCGTTAAGCGTCTGCCTTCAGCTCAGGTCATGATCCCAGGGTCCTGGGATCGAGTTCGCCGTCGGGCCCCTTGCTTGGCAGGGAGCCTGCTTCTCCCTCTGTCTGCTGCTCCCCCTGCTTGTGTTCCCTCCCCCACTCTCTCTCTCTGACGAATAAATAAATAAAATCTTTTTTTTAAAAAAAGAGAGACTTGAGGGAGGTGCGGGAGAAGCTGCAAGGATGTCTGGGGAAGAGTGTTCCTGACAGAGGGAATAGCATATGCAAAGGCCCTGAGGTAGGACTGTGCCTGGTTGTATTTGAGGGACATTGAGGGGAACAGTGGCTGGAGCAGAGTGAGAATGGGAAGGGGGGTGACAGAAGGACTACTGGGGGGCTGCATCAGGACACAAACAATCTCCTCACATTTTTATCAGCCCTTGGTGCATGAATAGAGCATTGTTTATTTAATCGACCCCCAGGTGATGAGCACAAACAGTATTCCAGTGAACATCTGGCACACACATCTTCCGTCTTCCTGCATGCCCGTGGCTTTGCTGGCGCAAGCAGGGAGGCTCCAGTTGAGGCAGGAGGCTCCAACCTCCTCTCAGCATGGGCTTGCTTCTCCCCCCTCCACCCCCACCAGGCTGCCTGTACTGGAGACAGCGTTTCCAGCCGGAGAAGCTCACCCCAACCCGCTGGACTCCATCATGAGCAACCGCTTCCCCCGCTGGTTCATCCTTGGCCACCTGGAGACGCGCCAGTGTGAGCTGGCCTCTGCCATGCTGACAGCTGCCAAGGGTGAGGACAGAGGCTGCCCCCTGTCCCGTTCCCCTGCTCCCCTGTCCTCTGCCTTCTCTTTCCTCTGTTCCCACATCCCTTCCCTCTCCTTTTTATCCTTTCATCAAATTTCTGTCTTCCTTGAGCACTTTCTAGATGGACCAGGCACTGTCCCAGGTGCTGAGGAGTGACCAACACTGTTCCAAGGCCTGTGCCCTGTGGTGTTCCATTCTAGGGGGGGCAGACAGACCCTAAACAAGGCCAAATACTTAGTGACGTCACTTATGAGCAAGCAGGGAACAAGGGCCGTGGAGGAGGAAAAGCAGATGAACACTTAAGCCAAGAGGGCGGAGCTGTTGCCTGCATCTGGTGTCCCTGTCACCTTGAGTCGCCATAACAGCTCTGCTCTGGGGCTGGGAGTCCAAGGTCCGGGTGCTTGGTGGGTTCCCAGGGAGAACTCTCCTCCTGGCTTGCCACCCTCCTGCTGTGTCTTCACAAGGCAGAGAAAGAGAGCGCTCCCGATTTCTTCCTCTTCTCAGGACACTCATGCCATCATGCTGGGGATGAGGGCTTCCCCGTGAATTTGGGGAGGGCTCTGTCCAGGCCGGGAGAGCATTCCAGGCAGAGGGAACAGCCAGTTCAAGGGCCCTGAGGCTGGACCGTGCCTAGAATGTTTGAGGAGCGCAGGAGCGAAGTGACAGAACTGTAGGCTCTGGGCCAGTGATAAGAGCAATCAAAGCTCACAGTTGTATGCTCTTGACCCATGAAAGCCTTTCGAGTACGGGCTCACCGTGGCCCTGGGAGGCAGGTACCCTTGCGCTAGTGTGACCCATTTTACAGATCGAGCAGCTGAGGCACAGAAAGGTCAAGCGACTCGCTCGGCGTCACATAGCTAGTGAATGGCGGGACGGGGATTGAACCCTGGTGTTCTGGGACCAGAATCACTGCCCTTGACAATTAGGGGTCCCCAGGTGGCTTCCTCCTGCTGGGTGGTGGGGAGAGGAGAGGAGAGAGGGAGTGCCAAGAGTGGTCTGGATCTTCCCAGAGCCATTGCCGGCTACCTCTGCCTCCTCACATGTGGGCACCTGGGTGGAGGAACCTGGGTGGACAGGTCAGGCAGCAGCAGGGGCTGGTGCCCAGTGTGCCGACTGTGCCCTCCTCCCTCCCTGCACCCCAGGAGACCCCAAGTGGCTGCATGCGGTACTGGGCTCCATCCAGCAGAACATCCACTCGCCTGCCCTGCTCTTCAAGCTGGCGCAGGACGCCTGCAAAACGGCCACCCCGGCCAGTGCGCCTCCCGACACCACGCTGCTGGGCATTGCGCTGGAACTAGGCCTGCAGGTGAGGGTCAGAGGGGGGATGCTGCTTGAGGACAGGCCTCAGCGGGAGTGGCAGCTCTGGGAGTAAGGGTCCCGGGAATGGAGCACCGGGGTCACCAGTGGGGGATGGGCCTGTGAATGAGGGACTCCAGGGCAGAGTCTGAAGGTGAGCATCCCCTCCTGGGGGTGTGGCTGAGGAGGAGGATGCAGGGCACGGGTCCTGTAGCTGAGTGGGTGGGCCACAGGAAGAAGCCTGGCCTAGGGTGCTGGCCTTGGGGTGGGGCCTGGAGCTGGTGTGCCCACTGGGTGGGTTGGACTGAAGCCCAGGGAGCAGAGCCTCTGGATGAGGAGCTTGCTTGGGGGCAGGGCCTGTGGGGGACCAGTCTAGAAGGAAAGGTTGCTGCTGAGGGGGCGGGTCCTGAAGGCGAGAAGCCACCTCTGCAGATGAGGTCTGTGGTTGAAAGTCCTTGCGGCAGGGCCTGGGAGCTGGGGCCTTCGCCAGGGGCCAGGCAAGGGCTGTCCTGCTGGGGCAAGTCAGAGACCAACATGGGTACTGCCTGTAGGTGAGGAGTCAGCTGCAGGGTGTGGGACCCGGAGGGGGCAGGGCCTCAAGAGTGTGGCCAAAGTAAAGTAAGAATGGAGAACAGTTTGGGGCAGGCTTGCAGGATGGGGTGGGACCTTCCCAGGTAGAACCTGCCCCCAGGGGGCCTGCAGAAGGCGGAATTAGTCCCGAACAATCTCCTGTGGGGAAGTGGAATCATTGTAGGGGGTCTGGGGGAGGTGAGATGAGGGAGGGATCCTTTAGAGAGGTGAGAGAGGTGACCCACTCCTTAGGAGCTTCCAGTGGCAGAGTCCACCAGACAGGCCCTGAGGGGGAGGCAAACAGGGAGGGTGCTTACTGGGGATAGGACCTGAAGAAGGTAGGGGCCTGAAGGGCAGGTGCTTTGTTGGGGCCCACAGGGGGAAATCTGCTGACGTGAAGCATGGAACTTTCCAGAGAGAAGGGGCAGGTTGGATTGCTGTCTGGGGTAGTCACCACGGAGCCTCAGGATAACACCCACAATAATAGCAGTAACAGTAATGCTGGCATGGACTGAGCACTTTGAAGCAACAGATACTGTGCAAGATCTTTTTTTTGGAAGGGAGCGCCTAGGTGGCTCAGTCGTTAAGCGTCTGCCTTTGGCTCAGGTCATGATCCCGGGGTCCTGGGGTCGAGCCCCGCATCGGGCTCCCCGCTCAGCGGGAAGCCTGCTTCTCCCTCTCCCACTCGCCCTGCTTGTGTTCCCTCTCTAGCTGTCT